GGGGGGGGAGGGAGGGAGAAAGGGATAGAGCGAGCGAGAAAGGGGGAGAGGGCAAGAGCGAGAAAGGGAGAGAGCGAGAGTTTTTGAAACAGTACAAGAGTAGAGTGGTGGGAGTGGGAAAGAGAGAAAAAGATGACACAGCCATCTGGAAACAGGGCCACAAATTGAGCCAGGAAGCTACCCGGAGACAAGGCCTCGGAGCCCTAGAGCCCCAGAGCCCTAGAGACCGTGGGAAAGCAAAACATAGATCATGCGTCACCAGGAACCTCCCACAACCTCTCCTTCACCACATAAAAGGATCTGGCGACAAGAGGCCAGTTTCACGTCGAATAAATGCCATACATATATTAAAATTTATATCAAAGTGGATGTGGAAACTTCATGGCTGTAACTGAGTAAATGTGACCACAGTTCAGTATTAATGCTTCTCTGGACGAACTGCTTATTAGATGGCGATTAATAATGACACGAGGCATACGTGATGATATATGGTCGTAAGTGACAGTGATTGGTAACGAGGACGCCTGGGAGTTGACAACTCAAAGCCTATTAGAGGTGGACAAGGACAGCCTCTTTAAACTGAGAGAAAGTTGGACAAAAGGACCCAAGTGGATGGTGGGTGTGTGTGTGTGTGTGTGTGTGTGTGTGTGTGTGTGTGAGTGTGTGTGTGTGTGTGTGTGTGTGTGTGTGTGTGTGTGTGTGTGTGTGTGTGTGTGTGTGTGTGTGTGTGTGTGTGTGTGTGTGTGTGTGTGTGTGTGTGTGTGTGTGTGTGGACACATTCACGTCAAAAGATCACAACACTAAAGCAGAGGATAAGAGAGGGGGTTTCAGGTGGCAAGCACCACCTTGCCTTATGATGGCTCAAGGACAGGTCCAGGGACCTCAACTGATAACATCTCCACATACAGAGGACAAATAAGGGGAAACTGGACATGTTCCTGATATACAAGATATTCCAGAAAAGCGATCAGAGGGATAGAATCACACTATTTTGTTAGAGGAGCAGCGTACATGGAAGCACCTGGGCACCCAATTGAGCCAAATGCAGGCGAGAAGTCACAATAACGTGGCTGAAAAATGTTGACCAAACCACACACTAGCAAGTGAAGGAACGACGACGACGTTTCGGTCCGTCCGGGACCATTCTCAAGTCGATTACGATCTCTAGTCCATTCTCACAATCGACTTGAGAATGGTCCAGGACGGACCGAAACGTCGTCGTCCCTTCACTTTCTAGTGTGTGGTTTGGTCAACAGATGAGCCAAAGGCTATGAGAGCGGTCACTTCTTCAGTATATATGTGAGTGGGTGAGAGAGAGCGAGAGTGAGAGAGCGAGAGACAGAGAGAGAGAGCGCACCATGATACAATACCTGGAGACAGGACCAACAAGAGAGGGCAGGGCGGAGTGTTGTCATCCCAACTCACCTACGGAAAAGAAACGTTTGTCACAATACAACTTAGACGAGTCACGTGATAACTTATCACACAAGATGACCACAAGCTCTTGTTTCTACAAACACTGAAAATCTTGAATATATAATAAAAAAAAATAGAGAATTCAAAGTGGGTGGGTGGTGGCCGAGTGGACATTGCTCTATACTCGTGGACCAAGGGACCGGAGTTCGATCCCCCGACACCGCCGGAAAAACAAATGGGCAGTTTCCTTCACCCTGATGCGCCTGTTACCTAGCAGTAAATAGGTACCTGGGAGTTAAACAGCTGCTACTGGCTGCTTCGTGAGGATGTGTGTGTGTGTGTGTGTGTGTGTGTGTGTGTGTGTGTGTGTGTGTGTGTGTGTGTGTGTGTGTGTGTGTGTGTGTGTGTGTGTGTGAAAAATAGTAGTTAGTAATAGTTGATTGACAGTTGAGAGGCGGACCAAAAGAGCAGAGCTCAACCCACGCAAGAATAACTAGGTGAATACAACTAGGTGAATACACACGCATCTATGTTAAATCAATATTCTTATAATCCTGAAATATAGAAAAAAGAATGCATGAGGACTAACAATTTTAAAATTGTAAACCTTCAAGCCACACACTTGGAAAACACCATTTTAAACGAAAACAAAAAATCCCAATAGATAGAAGTGTGCAATAATATACTCATTATCAACAGGATAAATCTTGACTTTATAACAAAAAAAGGAGAATTCAATCAATTCAAAAGGGGTTTTTGCAATGGCAAAAAATAGTGGGATGAAATATTGTAAGAGAAGTAGAGAGAGGCGGAGCTGAGGACGACACAGGGGAAAAGCCAGTGGTCAGAGCACTGGTGTGGCCAGGTGTGGCCAAGTGTGGCCAGGTGTGGCCTGGTGTGTGGCCAGGTGTGGCCTGGTGTGGCCAGGTGTGGCCAAGTGTGGCCTGGTGTGTGGCCAGGTGTGGCCTGGTGTGGCCAGGTGTGTGGCCAGGTGTGGCCTGGTGTGGCCAGGTGTGGCCAAGTGTGGCCAGGTGTGGCCTGGTGTGTGGCCAGGTGTGGCCTGGTGTGGCCAGGTGTGGCCAAGTGTGGCCAGGTGTGGCCAAGTGTGGCCAGGTGTGGCCAAGTGTGGCCAGGTGTGTGGCCTGGTGTGTGGCCCGGTGTGGCCTGGTGTGTAGCCAGGTGTGGCCTGGTGTGTAGCCAGGTGTGGCCTGGTGTGTGGCCAGGTGTGGCCTGGTATGTGGCCAGGTGTGTGGCCAGGTGTGGCCAGGTGTGTGGCCTGGTGTGTGGCCAGGTGTGTGGCCAGGTGTGTGGCCAGGTGTGTGGCCTGGTGTGTGGCCTGGTGTGTGGCCAGGTGTGGCCTGGTGTGTGGCCAGGTGTGTGGCCAGGTGTGTGGCCAGGTGTGGCCTGGTGTGTCGCCAGGTGTGTCCTGGTGTGTGGCCAGGTGTGGCCTGGTGTGTGGCCAGGTGTGGCCTGGTGTGTGGCCAGGTGTGGCCTGGTGTGGCCAGGTGTGTGGCCTGGTGTGGCCAGGTGTGGCCAGGTGTGTGGCCTGGTGTGTGGCCAGGTGTGGCCTGGTGTGTAGCCAGGTGTGGCCTGGTGTGTAGCCAGGTGTGGCCTGGTGTGTGGCCAGGTGTGACCTGGTGTGTGGCCAGATGTGTGGCCTGGTTTGTGGCCAGGTGTGTGGCCTGGTGTGTGGCCAGGTGTGTGGCCAGGTGTGTGGCCAGGTGTGACCTGGTGTGTGGCCAGGTGTGGCCTGGTGTGTAGCCAGGTGTGTGGCCTGGTGTGTGGCCAGGTGTGGCCTGGTGTGTGGCCAGGTGTGTGGCCAGGTGTGTGGCCTGGTGTGTGGCCAGGTGTGTGGCCAGGTGTGTGGCCAGGTGTGTGGCCAGGTGTGGCCTGGTGTGTGGCCAGGTGTGGCCTGGTGTGTGGCCACGTGTGGCCTGGTGTGTGGCCACGTGTGGCCTGGTGTGTGGCCACGTGTGGCCAGGTGTGTGGCCAGGTGTAGCCTGGTGTGTGGCCTGGTGTGTGGCCAGGTGTGGCCTGGTGTGTGGCCAGGTGTGTGGCCAGGTGTGTGGCCAGGTGTGGCCAGGTGTGGCCAGGTGTGTGGCCTGGTGTGGCCAGGTGTGTGGCCTGGTGTGGGTCCCGGGGCAGGCAGCAGAGCTGGACACTATACAGAGACCCGGGACTGAGTGGACAGCGCACGGGATTCGTAGTCCTAAGGTTCCGGGTTCGATCCCTGGCGGAGGCGGAAACAAATGGGCAGAGTTTCTTTCACCCTGATGCCCCTGTTACCTAGTAGCAAATAGGTACCTGGGAGTCAAGACAGCTGCTACGGGTTGCTTCCTGGGGGACGTGTAAAAAAAAAATCCTGATCGAGGACCGGGCCGCGGGGACGCTAAGCCCCGAAATCATCTCAAGATACAACATACTGAAATAAGAGACGGGACGTAGGACGTGCAAAATACAATTCCAATGACAAAGTTGGGTTGCCAGAGTGGCGCTCTCACTACGGATATTGAGTGAATACGACGCTAATGAGTGCAAGCCGCCAAACACACACCGAAACTACGACGTTGGTACAATGTTCGCACAAGTTTTAACACCTCCTAACCAGTTATAACAACCAATATAGCAAGTTGTAACAACGTTCTAATACGTCATAAGCACGTTAAGCCAAGATGTAACAACTTTATTACATGTTGTAACAAGCGGAAAATAGAGACAGTTACGGTTTGTTTTTCCTGGGAACGCACATCCATCCCCCCCCCCCCCCCAACAACACTGCCAAGAAAATACTGCATAAAATATATCCCAAACTTCAATATTCACGTGATATTCTTAGGTCTTAATTGTGTGTTGAGATAATACTCAAATGTGATTCAGTGTGACAATAAACACATATTTAATGTTTGAGACGTAAAACAAAATGTGTGGGGAAGATGGGGAGGGAGGGGGGGGGGAAGGAAGGTCACGAGGGAGGGGGGGAGAGGGGAAGGAAGGTCACGAGGGGGGGGGGGGGGGAGAGGGGAAGGAAGGTCGGGAGTCACATGGATTTACAGAAGCCCACTCCCCCCTCTCTTCCTCCCCACTACACTAATTACGTCACTGCCATTGTTATCAGCGGCTGGCCAGGGGATAACTGCTCAATTAACAGTCTCTCCACGCTTGTAGTGGTTCCTGGGAGGGTGGCCACACCCCCCCACCCCCACCCGACCCCCCAATGCTGGGAGCTGAAGGAGAATCCCTTCACCACCCATGCTGGGAGAAAGCCCGCCCTTCACCACCCATGCTGGGAGAAAGCCCGCCCTTCACCACCCATGCTGGGAGAAAGCCCGCCCTTCACCACCCATGCTGGGAGAAAGCCCGCCCTTCACCACCCATGCTGGGAGAAAGCCCGCCCTTCACCACCCATGCTGGGAGAAAGCCCGCCCTTCACCACCCATGCTGGGAGAAAGCCCGCCCTTCACCACCCATGCTGGGAGAAAGGAACCCCCCCCCCCTACCCTCACCCATGCTGTGGTCAAAAATATAAATTATTAACAAACAGAAACAACCCCGGAGCTGGAACAGGATACAGAATATAAGACACCATGAAGACCTCTCATGATGATGAATACAAGACTCACCATGAAGATGAATATACATCTCATCAGAGGTCAGAGACCGGAAGCCTGCAGGGAAACATGTGCGTACATTATGCTCACTGAGCGTCAGTTCTCTATAGGGAATATAGCATCAACCAGGACAATTATAGCGTGGATTATAGGAACCTTCAAGTACTGGGATCCCATCATAATGCTCGCACTGTCTGGCCTTGAGTACTGCTCCATGCTCACTTGCCCCTTCACAGCACGAGAGATCACTAGAGGGACTAGAGAGAGCACTAGAGGGACCACAGAGAACATACAAGGCCCGCCTAGACACGATAAAGCACCCAAATTATTGGTACCGCCACAAAGCTGTCAAAATGTACTCTCTGGAAAGGAGACGAGAGACGTATTAACTTCTTCCAGTAAAACAAGCTGAGGGGCAACACTATCATGGAGTGAACATTCACGCACTCAACTTTACTCTCAATATACACAACCTCTATGCACCAGCTAGTGTCTAATTCTATTAATCTTCGAGCCTGTGTTCCAGCAGAGCCCACTTACCTGCCTCTTGTTGGTTCCGGGCATCAACGTCCCTGCGGTTACCTTGCGGTGATTCCGGGGGTCTGGAGCCCCGCGGCCCGGTCTCTGACCAGGCCTCCTGGTTGATGGTCTGGTCAACCAGGCTGTTATACGTCAGGCTGCGAGCAGCCGCGTCCGAGTCACAGTCTGGTTGATTAGGTATCTTTTGGAGGTGTTTATCAAGTTCTCTCTTGAACACTGCGAGGGGTCGGCCAGTTATGCCCCTTATGTGTAGTGGAAGCGTGTTGAACAGTCTCGGACCTCTGATGTTGATAGAGTTCTCTCTCAGAGTACCTGTTGCACCTTTGATTTTCAACGGGGGTATTCTGCACATCCTGCCATGCCTCCTGGTCTCATGTGGTGTTATTTCTGTGTGCAGGTTTGGGACCAGCCCCACTTATATTTTCCAAGTGTAAATTACTATGTACCTCTCCCGCCTGCGCTCAAGAGAATACAGATTTAGGCTCTTTTGTCGATCCCAATAGTTTAGATGTTTTACTGAGTGGATTCTAACAGTAAAGGATCTCTGCACGCTCTCCAGGTCAGCAATTTATTCAGCTTTGAAAGGGTCTGTCATTGTGCAGCAGTACTCCACTCTAGAGAGCACTACCGTCTTGAAAAGTATCATCATTGATATAGCATCTCTAGTGTGAAAGGTTCTTGTTATCCAACCTGTCATTTTCTTGTAGTTGTGACGGCTACTTTATTATGTTCTTTAATGGTAAGGTCTTCCGACATGAGTACACCTAAATCTTTTACATTCCTTTTACGTTCTATGTAACGTAATCTGACTGCGTTTTGTACGTGGTTTCCGTTTTTATATTTTTATTTTTTTCCATAGAACAGGAGCTGGAACCTATCTTCATTATATAGCATATTATTTTCTGTAGCACCCTTGCAAGACCTGATTTACATCAGTTTGGAGGTCTGCCGTGTCCTCTTTGTTGCCCGCGGCCCGGTCTCTGACCAGGCCTCCTGGTTGGTGGTCTGGTCGACCAGACCCACCCCTCATTCTTGCTTGATAGAGGGCACTTTTTTTTTTCTACCACAGACGTGGCCACCCATTTACAATACTAACCAACATATATACATTTTCTTCTGTCCTCCATGGACAGGGTTGGAGATGTGTTAAACATATAGTTCAAGGGTTTATTGAACAATCAACCACAGAAGGTGATTCGGTGCTTTTAAAAAGCTAAGCTAACCTACATACGTAAATACATAGATACACTGATTTACGTATGCCCTACGATAGAGGGCACTGATAGTTCACGCTTCAATAACAGGGATGGAGATCAACTGCTGCCGCTATTAAACAGTCATGATGACATGCAGAGTGTGGGAGACCTTAAACCCACGCACACTTATAGAGGCAATCCAGACCCTTGTCACATTGGATCTATACCACATTTCTGTATGTATATACATTTTAACCCTGAATTATGTCCAGGACTAACGTATATTTGCTGCTTTGTCGGAAAGCTTCCGCGAAGACCTTAATAACCATCCAGAGGTGGCTAGGCTTAAATTAAGCCCAACAAAATACTAAGGGATCTTGTGTCCACTCTTCTCATACACTTGTCATCGGACCATTTGTGAGGATCAGGTGAGGTGATGATGGTTGGTTAAGTTTAGACTTTTTATCTATATTTACAGCAGGGACTTGAAGTGAACAAAATACGTCAACTGTAGGGACTGGAAGTGAACAAAATACGTCAACTGTAGGGACTGGAAGTGAACAAAATACGTCAACTGTAGGGACTGGAAGTGAACAAAATACGTCAACTGTAGGGACTGGAAGTGAACAAAATACGTCTACTGTAGGGACTGGAAGTGAACAAAATACGTCTACTGTAGGGGCTGGAAGTGAACAAAATACGTCTACTGAAGGGGCTGGAAGTGAACAAAATACGTCTACTGTAGGGACTGGAAGTGAACAAAATACGTCAACTGTAGGGACTGGAAGTGAACAAAATACGTCTACTGTAGGGACTGGAAGTGAACAAAATACGTCTACTGTAGGGACTGGAAGTGAACAAAATACGTCTACTGAAGGGACTGGAAGTGAACAAAATACGTCTACTGAAGGGGCTGGAAGTGAACAAAATACGTCTACTGTAGGGACTGGAAGTGAACAAAATACGTCTACTGTAGGGACTGGAAGTGAACAAAATACGTCTACTGAAGGGGCTGGAAGTGAACAAAATACGTCTACTGTAGGGACTGGAAGTGAACAAAATACGTCTACTGTAGGGACTGGAAGTGAACAAAATACGTCTACTGTAGGGACTGGAAGTGAACAAAATACGTCTACTGAAGAGGCTGGAAGTGAACAAAATACGTCTACTGAAGGGGCTGGAAGTGAACAAAATACGTCTACTGAAGGGGCTGGAAGTGAACAAAATACGTCTACTGAAGGGGCTGGAAGTGAACAAAATACGTCTACTGAAGGGGCTGGAAGTGAACAAAATACGTCTACTGAAGGGGCTGGAAGTGAACAAAATACGTCTACTGAAGGGGCTGGAAGTGAACAAAATACGTCTCAGGTCCGACCATCTAATACAGTGGTGGATAATGGAGCCAACTATGACATCCAGCACGTCAGGAACTGGTTGTGTTGTGTTCCTGTGCAAGGAACAACACAGTCACCAGAGTAACACAGCCAGCTGGTGCCAGGACCACAACACAGCCAGCTGGTGCCAGGACCACAACACAGTCAGCTGGTGCCAGGACCACAACACAGTCAGCTGGTGCCAGGACCACAACACAGTCAGCTGGTGCCAGGACCACAACACAGTCAGCTGGTGCCAGGACCACAACACAGTCAGCTGGTGCCAGGACCACAACACAGCCAGCTGGTGCCAGGACCACAACACAGTCAGCTGGTGCCAGGAACACAACACAGTCAGCTGGTGCCAGGACCACAACACAGTCAGCTGGTGCCAGGAATTACAACACAGTCAGCTGGTGCCAGGACCACAACACAGTCAGCTGGTGCCAGGACCACAACACAGTCAGCTGGTGCCAGGAACACAACACAGTCAGCTGGTGCCAGGACCACAACACAGTCAGCTGGTGCCAGGAACACAACACAGTCAGCTGGTGCCAGGACCACAACACAGCCAGCTGGTGCCAGGACCACAACACAGTCAGCTGGTGCCAGGAACACAACACAGTCAGCTGGTGCCAGGACCACAACACAGTCAGCTGGTGCCAGGAACACAACACAGTCAGCTGGTGCCAGGAACACAACACAGTCAGCTGGTGCCAGGACCACAACACAGTCAGCTGGTGCCAGGACCACAACACAGCCAGCTGGTGCCAGGACCACAACACAGTCAGCTGGTGCCAGGAACACAACACAGTCAGCTGGTGCCAGGACCACAACACAGTCAGCTGGTGCCAGGAACACAACACAGTCAGCTGGTGCCAGGAACACAACACAGTCAGCTGGTGCCAGGAACACAACACAGCCAGCTGGTGCCAGGAACACAACACAGCTGGTGCCAGGAACACAACACAGCCAGCTGGTGCCAGGAACACAACACAGCCAGCTGGTGCCAGGACCACAACACAGCCAGCTGGTGCCAGGAACACAACACAGCCAGCTGGTGCCAGGACCACAACACAGTCAGCTGGTGCCAGTAATTCAACACAGTCAGCTGGTGCCAGGAACACAACACAGCCAGCTGGTGCCAGGACCACAACAAAGGTGGCACTGTCATCCAGAGAGAGAGAGAGAGAGAGAGGGGGGGGAGGGGAGATGGGGGGGGTGTTCGTTGGCGCCCCTAAGCCTCTTAATAGGACTCAGAAGTCGTGTACTTGTGTGTGAATATAAGTATAGCATAAGTGCATAAGTATATGAACATATATTATATATATATATATATATATATATATATATATATATATATATATATATATATATATATATATATATATATATATATATATATATATATATATATATGAACGGTAGAAGTGAGTGCCCCCAAAGATACAAAGCCAGTGTTCTCAATGCTTATATTCGTCGAGCGCTTACCCACTGCTCTGAATGGAGCAACGTGAGTAGAGAGTTTGAAAGAGTAACTCAGGTATTGGTGAACAACGGATATAGCAACGCGGAAATAAACGCTGCTATAAGAAGACACTTGGACCGTTGGTATAATTCAGAACCTAGAACAGAAACCACAACACCCCCAATAAAATTATATTACAAATCAACCATGCACAGCGAACATATAAAAGAGGAAAGAATAATGAAAGAAATAATCCGTAAAGGAGTAAAAGCACTACTCCTAACCAAAACATAAACCTGATAATATTCTACAAAACCAAGAAGACTTCCGAACTCCTTATCAAAAACAGCCCGAAGCCGACGGAGAACCCTCTACAGCAGTCAAGCGTTGTATACATGTACACTTGCCCCCACGAAGGATGTAACCTTCAATGTAAGTACATAGGTATGACGTCGACCAAGCTGACGAGGCGTTTGACATGCCATCTTCAATCTGGTGCCCCTAGGAATCACATGAGACAAGCCCATGACATTACTCTAACAAGAGAAATGTTGAACAAGAATACTGCATAATAGACAAAACCCAAGATTCAAGAAGATTACAAATTCTTGAGGCAATTCACATAAGAATAGAGCGACCTACCATGAACACCCAAATCACGGAACTATTTACTCTACCAACCATGAGAGTAAGGACAAGACAAGAACATAGCGATACCAACACAGAAGACAATGTCCAACATAACAGGCCAATTACACTGGATTAATCTTTGTGTTCGGATAGGAGATGCCTCGTATGGGCCAATACGCCTTCTGCAGCCTCTATGCTTCACCTCACTTATGTATCCCCCCATGTTTTTCACCTTCATTGTATTATCACCTGACCTAATGCGGGTATAAAATCAACTAGTATTGTAAGATCTGATCACTTGAGAATGAACCATGGAGGTTCGAAACGTCGTGCAAATTATACAAATAAGTGTAAATACACTCTATAGTAAAATCACTTCTTTTCTTCACCTTAAAAGTACGAAAATGAGTTTTGGAGAACTCCTATTTCAATTAAGCCCTGATGCTAAGAAATAGTTAGAGGGATAGAAGCCCTAAACCAGAAATAATAAATACAGAATATGCGGTCATATTCAATGAAACATGTTTGAAAGAAAAACCTGCTGCCAGTATACACCAATATATATATATATATATATATATATATATATATATATATATATATATATATATATGACAATGTCAGACCACGGAGGAAAAATGAAACAGGAAATTTCCTTAAGTACTTTCGTATATTAAATACATCTTCACAAGGTCCTTCTGAAGATGTATTTAATATACGAAAGTACTTAAGGAAATTTCCTGTTTCATTTTTCCTCCGTGGTCTGACATTGTCACATTCTTAATCACGTGTTTATTTTCGTGATATACACACACATATATATATATATATATATATACATACACACAAATATTAGTATTATTAACTTGAGATGCCTTTCTGAACACATTAGAAATTACCTGGGAATAAAAAATAATATATGAAGCTCAATTTCAGTTTTCTGAATGACAAGCAAGGTTGTTAATGCGGTTTGTTCAGTCACAAGTAACGACTTTCACGCCTCCTGACGCCGGCATTATACTGGAGTATACCTGGAGTATATCAGGAGTATATATCAATATCAGGAGTATATCTGGAGTATACCAGGAATATATCTGGAGCACAGCTGGAGTACACCTGGAGTATAGCTAGAGTATACCTGGAGTATACCAGGAGTATAGCTGGAGTATACCAGGAGTATATCTGGAGTATATCTGGAACACAGCTGGAGTACACCTGGAGTATAGCTGGAGTATACCTGAGTACAGCTGGAGTATAACTAGAGTATACCTGAGTACAGCTGGAGTATACCGGAGTATACGATGTGGATTGGAACGGGAAAGAAGTGAGTGCCCCCAAAGATACAAAGCCAGTGTTCTCAATGCTTATATTCGTCGAGCGCTTACCCACTGCTCTGAATGGAGCAACGTGAGTAGAGAGTTTGAAAGAGTAACTCAGGTATTGGTGAACAACGGATATAGCAACGCGGAAATAAACGCTGCTATAAGAAGACACTTGGACCGTTGGTATAATTCAGAACCTAGAACAGAAACCACAACACCCCCAATAAAATTATATTACAAATCAACCATGCACAGCGAACATATAAAAGAGGAAAGAATAATGAAAGAAATAATCCGTAAAGGAGTAAAAAGCACTACTCCTAACCAAAACATAAACCTGATAATATTCTACAAAACCAAGAAGACTTCCGAACTCCTTATCAAAAACAGCCCGAAGCCGACGGAGAACCCTCTACAGCAGTCAAGCGTTGTATACATGTACACTTGCCCCACGAAGGATGTAACCTTCAATGTAAGTACATAGGTATGACGTCGACCAAGCTGACGAGGCGTTTGACATGCCATCTTCAATCTGGTGCCCCTAGGAATCACATGAGACAAGCCCATGACATTACTCTAACAAGAGAAATGTTGAACAAGAATACTTGCATAATAGACAAAACCCAAGATTCAAGAAGATTACAAATTCTTGAGGCAATTCACATAAGAATAGAGCGACCTACCATGAACACCCAAATCACGGAACTATTTACTCTACCAACCATGAGAGTAAGGACAAGACAAGAACATAGCGATACCAACACAGAAGACAATGTCCAACATAACAGGCCAATTACACTGGATTAATCTTTGTGTTCGGATAGGAGATGCCTCGTATGGGCCAATACGCCTTCTGCAGCCTCTATGCTTCACCTCACTTATGTATCCCCCCATGTTTTTCACCTTCATTGTATTATCACCTGACCTAATGCGGGTATAAAATCAACTAGTATTGTAAGATCTGATCACTTGAGAATGAACCATGGAGGTTCGAAACGTCGTGCAAATTATACAAATAAGTGTAAATACACTCTATAGTAAATCACTTCTTTTCTTCACCTTAAAAGTACGAAAATGAGTTTTGGAGAACTCCTATTTCAATTAAGCCCTGATGCTAAGAAATAGTTAGAGGGATAGAAGCCCTAAACCAGAAAATAATAAATACAGAATATGCGGTCATATTCAATGAAACATGTTTGAAAGAAAACCTGCTGCCAGTATACACCAATATATATATATATATATATATATATATATATATATATATATATATATATATATGACAATGTCAGACCACGGAGGAAAAATGAAACAGGAAATTTCCTTAAGTACTTTCGTATATTAAATACATCTTCACAAGGTCCTTCTGAAGATGTATTTAATATACGAAAGTACTTAAGGAAATTTCCTGTTTCATTTTTCCTCCGTGGTCTGACATTGTCACATTCTTAATCACGTGTTTATTTTCGTGATATACACACACATATATATATATATATATATATATACATACACACAAATATTAGTATTATTAACTTGAGATGCCTTTCTGAACACATTAGAAATTACCTGGGAATAAAAAATAATATATGAAGCTCAATTTCAGTTTTCTGAATGACAAGCAAGGTT